TTCTATGACTCCTCATCCTGTATTGCTTCTTGCTGTCAATTTTATTATCGAGTCATTGAGTCATACAGCACGAAAACAGACCCTTCGGTCCAACCAGTCCATGCCAAACATAATCCCAAACTAAACTAGTCCCACCTGCCTGCTCCTGGCCCATATCCCTCCAAGCCTTTCCTATTCATATATCCATCCAAATGTCTTTTAAACATCGTAATTGTGCCCACATCCACCACTTCCTCAGGAAATTCATTCCTCACATGAACCACGCTCCGTGTAAAAAAATTGTCCCTTGTGTCTTTTTTAAATCTCTCTCCTCTCACCTTAAAAATGTGCCCCCCTAGTCCCAAAATTCCCCATTTTATAGAAAAGACAACTATCATCAACTCTATCTATACCCCTCATTATTTAATAAACGTCTATCTGGTCACCTCTCAACTTATACGCTCTAGTGAAAAAAGTCCCAGCCTATCCAGCCTTTTCTTATAACTCAAACATTCCATACCCGGCAACATCCTGGTAAATCTCTTCTGAACCCTCTCCAGATAATATCCATCCTATAACTGGGCAACCAGAAGAGGACACATTACTCCAGAAGAGGCCTCACCTATGTCCTGTACAACCTCAACATATCTGCCTGTCCTGTCGATAGTTCACTTATCCTTGGATATTTAGTTCCTGATCATGTTACAGCCACATCTCTATGACAGCCACAATATTGTTCCAGGCAATTTCAATCTGCACTACAAGCTCATTTACCTTGTTTCATATACTGCGTATATTTAAGTACAACACTCTCCATCCTGCATTGACTGCTCCCCGTTCTGACAGTTATCCCCTTATCTGTTGTGCCTGAAATTAGATTCCTGAACCTTTCCACATTATTTGGTCTAGAAATTTTAATAACCTCTCCTCAGCCTTCCTTCTCTGTAACAAGTTTAAAGTCTTTGTCGTCTCGATTTATCTAATCTGTGCCATCAGTTCATTTACCTTTTTTTCTCAATGCTTTGTATATTAAGATACAAAGCTTTTAAATTTGTTCTATTATTAACTTTCCCTACACTTTTACGGTTCCTTGGTACAATATGACATTCACATATCTGTCCCTTCCTTTATTTTTTTGGTCACAATCGCTAACCAGCAATCCCGTCTTCTCTTTAACCTTGGATTTTATCATTTTCCATGAAACTGAGCAGACACTTGCCCCACCCCACACACAATATAGTTATTATGGTGCCATCATTGGAGCTAATTTTACAGTCTAGATTTTTTGGCTGAAGTGAAGTTCCACCAACTCCCAGTTTTGGGATTTGAACCCATATCTTTAGGGGATTAATGTGGGTCTTGTACATGATATTTACACTAAACCACTATCCCTCCAGAAACCAGAGACTTTTCTTGATTTATACTAATGGTTAGGATTTAGGGAGTACGGGACAATTTCAATATTTGTGGATGATGCAAAAATTGAAAATATCGTGAATTGTGACGAAATTAGTGATGACATGCTTAACATCTTAAAACGCATAAAGATTGATAAATCTCTGGGATCTGATCAGGTGTACCCTAGAACTCTGTGGCAAGCTAGGGAAGTGATTGCTGGGCCCCTTGTTGAGATATTTGTATCATCGATAACCTCAGGTAAGGTGCCTGAAGACCGGAAGTTGGCCAACGTTGTGCCACTGTTTAAGAAAGGTGGTAGGGAAAAGCCAGGGAACTATAGGCCAGTGAGCCTGACATCAGTGGTAGACAAGTTGTTGGAGGGAATCCTGAGGGACAGGATTTACATGTATTTGGAAAGGCAAGGGCTGATCAGGGATAATCAACATGGCTTTGTGCGTGGGAAATTGTGTCTTACTAACTTGTTTGAGTTTTTTGAAGAAGAACAAAAGGAAGAGGATTGATGAGGGCAGAGTGGTGAATTTGAACTATATGGATTTCAGTAAGGCTTTCAACAAGGTTCCTCATGGTAGGCTACTGAGCAAGGTTAGATCACATGGAATACGGGGAGAACTAGCCATTTGGATACAAAATTGGCTCAAAGGTAGAAGACATAGGGTGATGGTGGCGGGTTGCTTTTCAGACTGGAGACCTCTGACCAGCAATGTGCCACATGGATCGGTGCTGGGTCTATTGCTTTTTTTCATTTATATAAATGATTTGGATGTGAACATAGGAGGCATGGTTAGTAAGTTTGCAGCTGACACCAAAATTGGAGCTGTTGTGGACGGCAAAGATGGTTAACCTCAGAGTACAAGGGAATCTTGATCAGATGGGCCAATGGGCTGAGGAGTGGCAGATGGAGTTTAATTTAGATAAATGTGAGATGCTGCATTTTGAAAAGACAAATCAGGGCAGGACTTATACACTGAATGGTAAGGTCTTGTAGCGTGTTGCTGAACAAAGAGACCTTGGAGTGTAGGTTCATAGTTCCTTGAAAGGGGAGTCCCAGGTAGACAGGATAGTGAAGAAGGTGTTTGATGTGATTGCCTTTATTGGTCAGTGCATTGAGTATTGGAGTTGGGAGGTCAAGCTGCAGCTGTACAGAACATTGGTTCAACCACTTTTGGATTATTGCGTGCAATTCTGGCCTCCCTCCTATAGAAAGGATGTTGTACTAGAAAGGGTTCAGAAAAGATTTGTAAGAATGTTGCCAGGGTTGGAGGGTTTGATCCATAGAGAGAGAGGCTGGGATGGGACTATTTTCCCTGGAACATTGGAGGCTGAGGGGTGACCTTGAGAGGTTTATAAAATCATGAGGGGCAAGGATAGGGTAAATAGGCAAAGTCTTTTCCCCAGGGTGGGGAAGTTCAAAACTAGAGGTCATAGGTTTCAGGTGGGAGGGGAAAAAATTAAAAGGATCCTAAGGGGCAACCTTTTTCACTCGGAGGGTGGGGTGTGTACGGAATGAGCTGTAAGGGGAAGTGATGGAGGCTGGTACGATTCCACCATTTAAAAGGCATCTGGATGGGGGCATGAGAGATAGTAGGAACTGCAGATGCTGGAGAATCCGAGACAACAAGGTGCAGGGCTGGATGAACACAGCAGGCCAAGCAGCATCATAGGAGCAGAGAGGCTTGCAGGGCTGGATGAACACAGCAGGCCAAGCAGCATCATAGGAGCAGAGAGGCT